ACATATGATGAGTGCTTCGATACTTATTATCACAGAGAAGGCGATGACAGTGTTCGTGTACATTGCTTCTCCCTTCTGTTGAACGACAAACGCAATAACAGAGCAACTGGTCTGTTAATCAAAAAGAAGGCATGTAGTTTGGTTATGAAGTGACGTCAAGGGTTCCGGGAGAGCAGGTCGGTGGGCGGGGGAAGACTCACCTCCTTAGGATACCTATACGGGTATGTGCCGCCTAACGTTGACGGGGTTTTAGAGGTCCTGTTTTAATACAGGTTTTTCTATATTCGAGTCGACCGTGTACTTAATATGCGTCGTAATATTGGGAGTTTTACATCATCAGTAGGGAAATCAATACTAGGCTATAATTTTTAATGTAAAACTCTTCCAAAACAGGTCTACAATAGGGAATAGATTTAGAGACTTGAGCAACCCATACACTCTGAACTCCTACCTTAGTACCCTCCTTTAAGCTATGATTTGTCACAAAACATCTGCCAGTCTTAAATTGACTTTCAATTAATCTCAACTTCATTTATTTACTGTGGGTAGCTAAAAAAGATAAATGCAAACAGAAAATATAAATAAATAACTGTAAACTTAATTAAGTTTGCATTATCACAATATACACTATTCTAGAGACCACATCAGGTTTTAACACAAAAAGCAATATTTTTCCTTAATACTTTTTCTCTAAAACTGTGAAATTTTCAATACATATGTAAATTTCACACCAAATTAAGCAAAATACAATATATTTTAATCAAATATATGAAAAAGGGAGTTTAAAGTTTTAAGTCCCCAGACACCCTCAGTCCGTTTCACAATTAAGATTATATTTTCGAAAATACTTATTCATAAAAATTTTTTTTAGTATTTTTAGTATTTATTGTATTACTTGGTGAAAATAAAGGTTCCTCCTCAATCGCTGACCCTTATTTGTTCGAAGGAGCTCACGGCCCGACGTTCATCATTAAAACTTGTGATTTGCGAATAACAAAGTACAATTTTTCATTTTACGTAATCCAAGAGGACGTTTTTCTGCCAACTCTTTTCTTTTTTTACAGGCGCATGTTTGTTAATAACAGTCACAACCATATTTTTCCACTCCCTCCACTTTTCGCGAGCATCAGAGACCACACGAATACGACTCCAGTCTCTTTGTCCTACATCAACCAAGAAATTGTTTTGGTTGAAGTTGTTCATTTGTACATAAGGACAGTTCTTAGTTAATTCATTGAAGTTCTTCATTTGTATTTCTCAAACTCATCAATAATTCATAAAAAAAAAAGACGAAGGAAATTAATGTTTAATGAGTGTTTGGAAATCAGATGTAAAACTGCTCATTTTTGCATCCTTAATTTCTCCTGGTAAAATCATTTTGTTTGAGAAGTAATATCAAGCATTCGACATAGTGTTTCATCTCCAGAAGAAACACCTTGAAGTTCGTCAAGCCGCTGCGCGTCGCATTTTCATCTCTCTTCTCACTGTTTCATTTGATGATATAACACTGCGTCTCACGCTTGATATATTACATAAACCATAAAAGTGAAGTTGTACTAATCTCTTCGAAACTGGGACGAGTTAACTTTCGCAAAGACTTCTGGGACTGTTAGTGGTGACAGGGCAAACAAATTGACCAATAGCTTAATGGCGCGTCCCCAGTAACCACCCCAGAAGTCTTTGCAAAAGCTAAGTGGCGAAAAAAGCTCGGTGAAGGCATCGCCTTTGTAGCATTTCAGGATCTCAGATGGGATAATGTGCTGACTGGGTGCTTTTCCAGGTGCAAGCGAACCCAGAGCCTCTTTCAGCTCCAAAGGTTCACAATTTAGCTCCTCCAGAACTAGTAAGCACTCTATAGCGTTCAGGGCTTCTCCAGACACCATATTCGTTCTCTATGGCGTACAGCTCAGAGTAATGTTCTACCCAACGCTCCATCTGTCACGCTCGGTCCTGGATTGTGAGGGTTGTCCTGTAGAATATTATGGTAGGGCTGTTTTCTTCTGAGAAGTACTAATTGTCCTGGCTTGATTTATTTCTATTTATTCGTACATTGTAACTCCACACACCGTAAACGGGCAAAGTATAAATCAGGGCTAGAGCCATCTGGGTCGGCAGATAAAAGCAATAGATTGTTGTTCGGTTTGCAAGTGGACACAAAACGGCGAAAGTGCTTTAGACTGATGATGGCAGAGAGAAAAACATCTGAAGCTGTATGGGAACTTAGTGAATGTTTTAATAATTTCACTTAACACCGAATTTGAATCAATTTGATTTCGTTTTCCTCCGAAGAGATTTGCTTGGAGTATGCAAGCTTCAGCATACATGCATATTTATTAATTCTTTCAGTTTTTACTTCACGGGATGGAACCACATATGCATATCTCATTCCTGAAGTTACTAGACATGCAAGGGTTTACGCAATCTTTGTCGAATCTACTGTTGTGATGAAATACCCTTTGTGACTGTTTTGGGGAAGTAATCTCTTTCGAGGTACTTTTACTGGTAATCACAAGGTCGCACAGGAAGCTGGATCATAATTTCTTCCTTACAACTGATTCCCATAATGCAATTCAACAGAACACCGATCCAGTCTCCCTCGCGTACTAAAAATGGCCAATAGAGCATTTTCACATGACGTCATTTCTGCCACTTTGGTTCCGAAACGGTAATTGCTTAATAAAAAGGTAGCCACGTTGGTGTCCCAAACCAATTCTGTGCGAGTCCAATCTTTTTCTTACATAAAACCTTTCTTTTCTTTCAATTAATCTAATGGCCGCGTGAGAGAAAACGCACGCTCCATGCAACTTCTAGTCTCCAATCATGGTTTTACAGGACACCTGAAGAGGGATAATTTCCAGAATGAAAGAGGCTACTATGTTATGCCCAGGTGACACCGTTGGCGCATGCTTGACGTCAGGATAAAACGTGGGATACCTTTTTTGCCTTAAGGTCATCCTCTTTTTTTCTTCGTTTAGCGTCGTCCGACCGACCCAAACTTTTGTCATTTTCCAAAAAAAAAGGAACAACGTAGTTAAACCATATTTTACTTGAAATAATTCTTTTAATCTGGAAAATGCACATAGTAATTAACAGCATAAAGAAAAATAGGAACAAGAACAGGAACATTTTTTACAGTTATATTGTGTACCTTAATATGTGAATTTTAAGTTTTAAAGTCGTCCTGGGGTACCAGGGCCTCCTATATTCCCAGACTACTTGTTATTTTATTTTATTTTATTTTATTTTTTTTCAATCCGACCGACCGACCCAATATCAGGAAACGCATTCGACGCTAAACGAGAAAAAAAAGGATGGCCTAATTTAAAAAGGGACATTTCATTTCAAAGCTTCGTTATTTCTACACGAACTTGTCCCCTTTGAACGAGTCCGTTCAGAGTTTTCCTAAAACTTGACAGTCTACAAGTATATGTGATAGGATTTATTACAGAGTTTGCAAAATGCAAAAGAGTTTTTTTTTTTCTTCTCCTGAACTTCGATACAGTCTTTTAGAATTCAACTCCCGAAAAAAATTGCCAACATCTTACGAATTAAATGAGATCAAATAATCGCGATAAAATTTGAAGCAGAGCGACTTGACTTTTTGAGTTATGTTGCGTCGCAGTCGTTGTTGTTTGGGCTTCCTACTATTAGCGCACGCCAGACGTCAGGACCAAACGAGGGAAGGTTTTTTGGCCATAAAAGGCAGGGAACATTTTTCTTTCAAAGCTTTGTTACTTCCACACGAACTTGTCGCCTTTTTAGGAGTCTATTCAGCGTTTTCTTAAAAACTGACAGCCTGCAAGTATATGCGATAGGATTAACAAGAGAGTTTGCGAAATGCAAAACAGTTCCCACCAAAACGACTTCGGCGGGAATACATTCTTTGCAAAAGACGTCATCGATGATGTAAAAAATGACAGCTGGAACCCAACAAGCAAATGACAATGCGATGACCAGAAATACCGTTTTTGAGAGTTTTACGTTTCTTTCCACGTTTTTTCTTTCGTCACTGTTAAATATTTGGGGTGAACGTTTCAAATGGGCGCGTATAATGATGTACGTAAGACAAGTAGTAAGAATGGATAGTACAAGAACGATGTTCAGTGCTATAACCGCATATTCAAAGGGCCACACGTTGAAGAAAGGTAGAATATAAATGAGGAACATACTCATCGCAGTCATCCAGATAAAGACAATACAATAGACATACACTCTGTCACCTGAAGTTCGGTGAGCAAGTGGCCACAAGACGGCTGCAGTGCGTTCCACTGAAACAGCAGCAAGAGAAACTACTGAAGCTGTTGAAAACAGGATGACAAATGCTGCAATATAGCCTCCAAGTTCTGATCTCTCTTTTCGCATCAGAGAGGGAATGGAGTTTGTCATAAACGCTGGAACCTTTGTGACTCCTATTAAAAAATCGGCAACCGCTAGATTGATCAGAAGATAGCTGGCTCGTCTTCTACTTCCCGTGAACTGCGTCCAAAATACAAAAATTATGAAAGCATTTCCAACACATATGATGAGTGCTTCAATACTTATTATCACAGAGAAGGCGATGACAGTGTTCGTGTACATTGCTTCTTCCTTCTGTTGAACGACAAGCGCAATAACAGAGCAACTGGCCTGTTAATCAAAAAGAAGGCGTGTGGTTTGGTTATGAAGTGACTTCAAGGGTTCCGGAAGAGCAGGTCGGGGGGCGGGGAGGACTCATCTCCTTAGGATAGCTTTGTGGGTATGTGCCGCCCGACGTGGTCGGGGTTTTAGAGGTGCTGTTTTACAACAGGTTTTTCTATATTCGATGTCGACCGTGTACTTAATATGCGTTGTAATATTGGGAGTTTTACATGACTAGTAGGGAAATCAATGACAGGCTATAATTTTTAATGTAAAACTCTTCCAAAACAGGTCTGCAATAGGAGAATAGGTTAAGAGACTTGAGCAACCCATACACCCAAAACACCTAACTTGGTACCCTCCTTTAAGATATGATTATTATATTTCGCAAAACATCTGCCAGTCTTAAGCCAACTTTCAATTAATCTCATCTTCACTTATTTACTATGGGCAGCTAAAAAAAAAATAAATGCAATCAGAAAGTATAAATAAGTAACGGTAAACTTAATTAAGTTTGCATTATCACAATATACTAATATTCTAAAGACCACATCAGGTTTTAACACAACAAGCAATATTTTTCCTTAATACTTTTTCTTAAAAACAGTGAAATTTTCAATACATATGTAAATTTCACACCAAATTAAGCAAAACACAATATATTTCAATCAAATATATTAAAAAGGGAGTTTAAAGCTTTAAGTCCCTAGGCACCCTCAATCTCTTTTACAATTAAGATCACATTCTCGGGAATACTTATTCATAGAAATTATTTTTTTAGTATTGTATTTATTGTATTAGTAGGTGAAAATAAAGTGTTCCTCTTCAATCGCTGACCCTTATTTGTTCGAAGGAGCGTCACGGCACCACGTTCATCATTTAAACTTGTTATTTGTGAATTACAAAGTACAATTTTTCATTTTACGTAATCCAAGAGGACGTTTTTCTGCCAACTTCTTTTCTTTTTTACAGGCGCATGTTTGTTTTCCACTCGTTCCACTTTTCGTCAACATCAGAGACCACACGAATACGACTCCAGCCTCTCTGCCCTACATCAAAAAAGAAATTGAAGTTCTTTATTTGTACATAAGGACAGTTCATCATTGAAATTCTTCATTTGTATTTCTCAAACTTATCAACAATTCATAAAAAAATACGAAGGAAATTAATGTTTAATGAGTGTTTGGAAATCAGATGTAAAACTGCTCATTTTTGCATCCTTTATTTCTCCTGGTAAAATCATTTTGTTTGAGAAGTAATATCAAGCATTTGACACAGTTTTTCATCTCCAGAAGGAACACCTCGACGTTCATCAAGACGCTGCACGTCTAGACTACGAGTAGTCCCCCATTTTTCCTCAGGGATAGTAGAGCGAGCGAAACGCGAGGGCGCGTGAAAATCACCCCACGCGAGAAAAGGCGACACGGATCCAGTCTCCCTCGCATACTAAAAATGGCCAATAGAGCATTTTCACATGACGTCATTTCTGCCACTTTTGGATACCGAAATACTAATTGCTTAATAAAAAGGTAGCCATGTTGGTGTCCCAAGCCAATTCTGTGGGAGATGAATCTTTTTCTTACATAAAAGCTTTATTTTCTTTCAATTAATCTAATGGCCGTGTGAGAGAAAACGCTCTAAACAACTTATAGTGCCCAATCATGGCTTTACAGGACACCTGAAGAGGGATGATTTCCATAATGAAAGAGGCTACTACGTATACTCAGGTGACACCATTAGCACATGCGTGACGTCAGGACAAAACGTGGGATATTATTTGCCATAATTTACAAAACAGGGGACATTTTATTTCAAAGCTTTGTTATTTCTACACGAAATTGTCGCCTTTGAACGAGTCCGTTCAGCGTTTTCCTAAAAATTGACAGTCTACAAGTATATGCGATAGGATTTATTAGAGAGTTTGCAAAATGCAAAACATTTCCCACACAAACGACTTCGGCTGGAATGCATTCTTTGCAAAAGACGTCACGGATGACGTACAAAAATATAGCTGGAACCCAACAAGCAAATGACNAGAAGGAACACCTCGACGTTCATCAAGACGCTGCACGTCTAGACTACGAGTAGTCCCCCATTTTTCCTCAGGGATAGTAGAGCGAGCGAAACGCGAGGGCGCGTGAAAATCACCCCACGCGAGAAAAGGCGACACGGATCCAGTCTCCCTCGCATACTAAAAATGGCCAATAGAGCATTTTCACATGACGTCATTTCTGCCACTTTTGGATACCGAAATACTAATTGCTTAATAAAAAGGTAGCCATGTTGGTGTCCCAAGCCAATTCTGTGGGAGATGAATCTTTTTCTTACATAAAAGCTTTATTTTCTTTCAATTAATCTAATGGCCGTGTGAGAGAAAACGCTCTAAACAACTTATAGTGCCCAATCATGGCTTTACAGGACACCTGAAGAGGGATGATTTCCATAATGAAAGAGGCTACTACGTATACTCAGGTGACACCATTAGCACATGCGTGACGTCAGGACAAAACGTGGGATATTATTTGCCATAATTTACAAAACAGGGGACATTTTATTTCAAAGCTTTGTTATTTCTACACGAAATTGTCGCCTTTGAACGAGTCCGTTCAGCGTTTTCCTAAAAATTGACAGTCTACAAGTATATGCGATAGGATTTATTAGAGAGTTTGCAAAATGCAAAACATTTCCCACACAAACGACTTCGGCTGGAATGCATTCTTTGCAAAAGACGTCACGGATGACGTACAAAAATATAGCTGGAACCCAACAAGCAAATGACAATGCAATGATCAGAAATACCGTTTTTGAGAGTTTCATGTTTCTTTCCTTTTCTTTTCTTTCTTTGGGGTGAACGCTTCAAATGTGCGCGTATAATGATGTACGTAAGACAAGTGGTAAGAATGGATAGTACAAGAACGATGTTCAGTGCTATAACCGCATATTCTGAAGGCCACACGTTGAAGGCCGGTAGAATGAAAATAAGAAATACTACCATAGCAGTCATCCAAGTAAAAGCAATACAGTAGACATAGACTTTCTCACTTGAAGTTCGATGAGCAAGTGGCCTCAAGACAGCGACAGTGCGTTCGACTGAAACAGCAGTAAGAGAAACGACTGAAGCAGCTGAAAACAGGACAACAAATGCTGAAATATAGCCTCCAAGGCCAGATTTATTTTTTCTCATCAGAGAGGGAATGGAGTTGGTTATAAACGATGGAATTTTTGTGACTCCTATTAAGAAATCGGCAACCGCTAGATTGATCAGAAGATAACTGGCTCTTCTTCTACTGCCAGTGTACTTCGTCCAGAATACAAAAATTGCGAAAGCGTTTCCAACACAAATGATGAGTGTTTCGATTCCAATGACCACAGAGAAGGCGATGACAACGTTTGTGTACATTGCTTCCCCTGGAAAAAAACTGTTGAATTGACATGCACTAACAGAGCAACTGGTCTGTTATCAAAAAGAAGGCGTGTAGTTTGGTTATGAATTGACTCTAGTCAGGGATTCCGGGAGAGCAGGTCGGGGAAAAGAGGGGGAGGGGGGGGGGGGGACGGCTCACTTCCTTATAATGCCTTTTGGAATGTGTGTCACTGGTCTCGTGGTCAGGTCCAGGTCAAGGTTTTAGGGGCCCTCTCTACAACATGTTTTTCTTATCGAGTCGACCGGTTACTTAGTGTGCGTAATATTTTCGTGAGTTTCCAATCATAAACAGGGAGGTTTGGGACAAAGAAAAATATT